GGAGCTACTCCCCCCAGAAGGCGTCCGAACACTCATGCAATACTTAAGTGTCCTTCACGGATATGGTGAATGGGTTGAGATCCGGAGGCGCAGACGGAAGGCGCTGCTGGATCTTAGCCTCTGCTATCTGGTAGCAGCGCGCCTCCGAAGCGGCGCATTCGCCTCGCAAGCTCAACATCTACAGATGTTCGACATAGCAGCCTTAGAAAGAGAAACATACATCGGAGCCTATACAGCCCGATTCTTGGAGGAACCCTTCCGTACGCAACTTTTGAATCCACAGAAGAATTGCGGGGGCAGTTCTTCGCGCAAGACCGCACACTCAACTTGGCGGCTGCCGAATGGGAAGTTCAGTCCAGCCGGTTACAAGCACAACAGGAGGACTGAGCTCATGGCAGGAGGAGAAACTCCCCAGAATAAGAAGCAGGAGGAGTTTCTCCCCTATGTCAAACAGGAGGAGACTCTCCCCTTGGAGGAGAATCTCCCCATCAATTTCGGTTCCAGCGAACGTATTTCTCTCAAAGAGGGAAAAGGAGGAGATGTCTCCCCAAACATAGCAGGGAGGAGACTCTCCCCCCAGAGGAGTTCCTCCCAGTAGACCTTTTCTCGCAAGAGGCAGCATTGCACAGTGGAGATCCTCCCTAAACAGGCGGATCCATGTTCAGTGGAGATTCTCCCTAGGTGGAGCATCTCCCCTCTGAGTTTTTGGAACAACAGCGTAACTTTGCACAAATAGGAGCGCATCGCAGTCTCGAAGCTCGCTACGAGTGTAACACGGATCACTTTCTATTTATTTGATCTTTTCCCAGGAGGATCGCTGGAGCAACTCCGCTGAAGGCATCAGCCTGGAAGGTCTTGAGCTCAGAGTGCAGTTGCAGTTCCGTTGCTGAGCCTCTTAACTTGCACGTTAGGAAGGTAAGCAGCTTGATAACGAGCCATCTTGCCGCAGCGCTTGCCCCTCTACGCTCACACATAACCAGAAACTCGACATAACTTTCTTTCCCGCCCCGTCTTCCACCTCAAGTCCCCAAACTTGGAAGCAGCAGTGTCTCCTCCACTCATGGCTCAGTCGTCGCAGGACCCCTCATATCATGCTGAGTACGAGGAATATTGCCAGCAGCGTGAGAGGAGCCAGCTCCCTTACGTCAGCTATCGCAACTATCTTCGTCAGTGGAGGCGTGCTGCGCGTGCACATGGCGAAGACCAGCCTCGCCACAAAGGAAAAGGCGACCCTAAGGGGGCGTCACAGAGAGAGCAAGGCAGTGATCTGCCTCCCTCTCCTCCCCAGGTTGCACGGAAGAGGCAGACCAAGGAAACAGAGGGCGGAGATACTCCCCCTACTGCCAAAGCAAAGAGTGGAGACGCTCCCTCTGGAAGCAGTTCCTCGAAAGTAGACCCAGCTCCAAGGTACGCCGATGAACCGCAGTTCCAAGAGGCTGTCAACCTTCTGGCCTCTGCAGGATTCTCTCCATACCCTCCTCTTCAGGCTGGATGCGAGGGATCTATTCGGGATCTCAACGTACACAGAGTCTCGGTTTCAGTTACAAAGCAACTTCGTGAAGGACTGAGTGAGGTCGCGGCGCCCACCCCCAAGATAGCCTCCGCCGTAATGATCACATTCTTGGCATCCCGAACAGGGCTCCATGGAGAAAGCCTTGCTCACCTAGTGGGGAAGCCTGAACAGGAAGAAGCAGGCTGGTTCCGCTTTCCCTACACCTCGCCAAACAAGCTGGTGAAGAAGGGGGAGAAAGCGTTTCACGGAACGCACCGAGTGCCTGCATGGCATTATGGCGTCAGGCAGAATACTGCCATCTACTTCCGTTCTCGAAGGCACAAGGCACTTCGAGGGACGTCCTGGCGTCTACCTCCACAAGGAGATCAACAGACATCTGGCAGCGGGCTATGCATCTCTAACCCGCTACGGGCCAAAGCATGTTTTCATGAGGGCAATGCTGGAAGTTCTCTATGATATCGATGGCTCCCAAAAGAAAGGGAAAAACACGAACCAGCTAATCCTGGCCTACGAAAGCGTGCAGATCACAGCAGTGCTGTTACAGATCGTCACGAAGGAACACATGCAGCTGGGGGACTATATTCGCGAGTGGTCCGGAGGCCTGGAAGTTCCTCTTGACAGCACCAAGGAGGCTTTCGTATCCCTGGGACTTGAAAAGACCTGGAAGCCAGATGCAGGCAAGAAGACGTCGTCATCCAAATCAAGAGGAGACACTCCCATGACAGAGAAGAAGGGTGGAGCTTCTCCCCCTGAGCCAAAGAGTGGAGCATCTCCCTCAACACAAGGCACGGAAGTAGGAGATGTCAGCCTCGTGAGATCGGCACAAAAAGTAGAAGATGACATACAGCCTTGGATGGGAGAAGCAGGGAGCTTGGGAGCATTTCGGGAAGACTCCAAGAATCCAAGAAGCCCCCACGCCACAATAATCTCAAAAGCTCTCTCCGCCTGCCTACGTCATGGACATAAGCCGCACATTGCAATCACCCCTGCGGGATGGGCCAGAGTAGTGGATCTTCTCGAGTGGCCAAGGATACGGGAACAGCAGGCGACAGCGGGAGACCTCATGGAAGTCGTACGCTCCAACGCCAAGAGTCGCTTTGAGATGGGGCTCAGCTCCACAGACGGGTGCCGTTACGTGAGAGCGGTCCAGGGACACTCAAGAACTGACGTCGATGATGATGCTGTCCTGGAAGCATTGACGGAGGAGCAACTCCCCGAGGAAATTCTTCACGGAACGCAATGGATGCTCTATGACTCGATACGCTCGAACGGACTACTTCCGCAATGCCGCCTCAAAGGAAAGGTTGGCGGCAAAGGAGGAGAAGGGCGCAAACACGTCCACTTTACCTCCTCAGGAAGCAGCCGAGAGGAGGTGATTTTCGGCAAGAGAGCCAGTGCGACTATGGCGGTAGCCGTCAACACAAGAATTCGGCAATGTCCATGGGAGTACGCTTCCTGCGAAGCAGGAATGGCGTTATACTGACCGCTGAGGACGTCCCCCCTGAGGCCATTTTATACTTTCAAAGCTTGCGCAACCAAGCCAAGTATGATAGGTGGGGCTTACCTCTCTAAGCGTTTCTGACATTCCGAGGAGTATCTCCCGGTAGTGATCAGGTGGAGTTCTCCCCAGAATGATCACTTCTATTCTTTCAGTTTTTAAGCTAAGCTCTTTCGGGTTGCCAAAGGTTGTGAGGGTAGTCCCACCAGATTTGTATACTACTCGAGTGGAGGATCTCCCTCGTAGCCTGTCCAAAATGGAGGAGACTCTCCCCACAGTCCCACTAGTCAAAAAGAGGCGGCAAAAAGGCATAACCAATAGGGGTAGTGTCGTGCTCTGCTGACAGCAAGGACTCATGACCGTGCGGATTTCAGGTTCAAGTAAGAGCTCAGCAAAATAGTCATGGCGGATACACCGAAGAGAACAACAGATCGCGACGTGTCCAGAACCCCGCCACCAGTGAGAAGAATGGGAAGATTGAGACGTGCCAACTTGTCCAGTGACGAAATTGAGGATTCAGAAGACGAGATCCCCGGAGCGAAAGCTCCGCCTACAGGACGCAATCTAGCAATGGGAGCTCCTAGATCCTCCTCGGAGCCACCAGCAGGGCCTCCTCCTCCAAAGCCCGTCAATCTACCTCCCTCAGTTACAGCCGAGCGGATGGGTGGAGTTCCTCCCCCAAAAAGAACAGCTCCAGCTAAAGCAGCTCCAACTATGCTAACACATGGTGGCACGGGAACAGTGGAAGTTATCACCTCAGCACCGTCATCGGCAGCAGATTCCACGCCGAACCCATCAGGAACCGTGGTGGAACCAAACATTCATGCACAAGAGCTGCCCACCCTGAGGGTGCATTTGCCAGGCAAGCTTCTTTTCAATGTAGAAATCGTGATCAGAGGGGAAGCTCCTCAAGCAGAGTAGCAGTGACACAGGGTGACCAGAACTGCTATGGCTGACTTCCGAAAAGAACTGTCAGCAGCAGCACAGATGATCACATCGCTTGCAAGCCCTGTCTTGTGCCGTCAAGCCTCTCAGAAACGTAGTCTGCTGCCTTTCGAGGCGGGACGTGTGCTGGCGCAGGGCTGAGGCACGGCCAGCAGCGCAGCTGAGACGGGCTCACAACAAACCAAGCAAGTAGAGCGACAAAGGTCGAACACTCGCAAAGCGAGGAAG